TTTCTCTTCTGATATAGTGGTTCCTTCAGGAGTGTTTTTTTTTTCGATCTCACTGGTATTTGTGCACTGCAATGTGGTCCCCGGGACGACTTTCTGATAAATCTGCATTAGAAATCCATTCTTTGATCTTGAAGTGTCCTGTACTGAGAACGTGATAAATCTCATTCGTACGTTTAACAGCTTCACCAATCGAGGTAACTGAGTCGGCAATGTCATCCATGTATCGACACTCTTTGATGGTTGTTTCTGCGTCTGGGTAATTTTAAGCATTCTCTTCAGCTGTGAGATCCATTACTGTATTTGCCATGGGTGGAGCAGGTTTATCACCGAACGTGAGAACTGTTTTAACATAAATGTCTGGTTCACGGTTTTCAAAACTTCGCCAGAGGAACCGATGGGAATGTGCATCTACAACAGGATCAACAAGAACTTGATGGTACATTTTTGAGACATTCCCCAAGATTGCAACATGATTTTCCCGAAATCTTAAGAGGACTCCAACTAAATCATTGAGGAGATCTGGCCCTTTGAGCATGTATTCATTGAGAACATGACCATGGTATTTCGCGGCAGCAAGGGGTAGACTTCTTTTCTGGTTTGATAACGGCGTGATGGCTGATGTAATGTACTGGACCATTATGTTGTTCCATGTCCCTTTGCGTGAGCTTCTTTGCGTGGCCCTGTTTTTCCATTTCCAATATTTGATCATCGTACATTTTTGCATTTTAATCCTTGTTTTTTAAGAGCCGCTTTTCAATACTTTCCAATTTAGCCAAAGCTTGTCTATAGTTGTTTGGAAGTTCATTTGGATCCTTTGCCCATGGTATAGGGATCATCCATTGTTGTCCGACCTTTACATTCACTGTCGCGAATAATCTTCGCCTCTAGCTTCCTTCTCGATAGAGCTAAGCAGTTTCCCCCCTGGTGTTCTCTTTGTGTAGCAAGGGTTCACTTCTACCCCCAATTGCTCAGTGGACCAGAAAGAAGTTAGATCAACTGGGTCATTAAGTCGAACAAGATGCATGCGGTTTACTGAACATAAACCATCGGGACCGGCTCCAGAAACTACCGCCCCTACGGGGGATTGCCACACAGCAAAATTTCCATTGACTAGCGTGTTGCCACCGTGAAGTGGAGCATGGTCGATGCCGATGAGGATGTCTACTGCCCCAGAACCCCGGTGAAGTCGCTTGGTGTCAATCTTGAACAACTTTGCATACTTCTCAATACGAACCGCCCTGACGTTTTCACTTATCAGAGGGATAGCTGCGGCTTTCAAATTTCAACACGGATTTCGGGCCACCATCTGGAGAGGGAACGAATCTGGAGAGTGTAGATCTTAGTTTGCAGCAACTGTTCGGTCCCCCCAACTTTACTTATACGCCGGGTGGACGCCAATGCTCTCACCATGCAATCCTAGGTTTTGGGCAAATTGTTCTCTGATTAAAAGTTAATTGAGATCCCCCATCAAGAGGGTCCTGAAAGGGTAAAATGGGAACTGGGATTGATCTATTTTTAGACTGGGAAAATGGGATTTGGGTTGCTGGGACTGGGATACGGCCACTGGGAATGGGAAATGAAGTTCTCAAAAATGGGAATTGGATTATTATTATTATTGGAAGTATTCCCCGCAGGGCTTTTCAATACTTATTTACAAATGATACTTTTTACAGCTTAATTAATGTTTATAAAAATGATTACAAAACGAATTTATAAAAAGTTTAAATGTGGCGCAATAAAATAAATTTCAATCTCAGGTAATGCGAGTCGATTCCCAATTTTTCTACGTTTTAAGTATTTTAAAATACAATTTTGATCCGTTTTTGGTGTCTTTGCATGGTCATGATTTTTGTTGTTAACTATATTATCCACAGCACTACCTGCGAACAGGCATACTCTGGCGCCCGGAATTCTGGGTATTCTGATTATGCGTGTCTCAGAATGCTGCAAATGCCATTTCCGGGATTTAAATTCAAAAATTTTCTGTGTCCCCCCCCCCAATATTTCATAAAGTGTCCGCCACTTGCACACACGGTGGCTTAAAGGGTCTTAAAACTGTTTATTCTACCAATTAATAAAGGGTTTTTTATTGACTGGGATTTCAATAACTCGGACTGGGATTTCTAATAAAAATCCAACTGGGACTGGGATTTTGCCAAAATTTCAGGTGGGAAATGGGATTGGGACCCCCCCTCCTCCATCAAACAGGATATTTGCTTTAGATTTCTGTTTAGATACAGAATTTATTGCACTGACTTCCAAGGTTGGGGCAGCCCGCTTTTTCCTCCCGCAATGACAGATACATTGTTATTGGACATTCGCTCAAATGGCGCTCCATGGAGCAAGGGTGATGACTGAACTTGCATGCTTCACCATCTCTTAACAACGTGCACTTTTTCTTTTTTCTACATGGGTTGCGATGAATTTTTAAACACGTAAGATGCATGAGCTTTCCTCACCTCTGTGAGACGAACAGTAGGGGTCATACTCAGAAACATTTGGCATGTGTCCAACTGGTGGGGCTGTTTGCATAACCAACAATGCTGAAACGTTGGTTGTGGTTGTGGTGGTGGTGGTGGTGGTTGTGGTGGTGATTGGTTGCCCTCACCTAATACTTCACCTGGATTCTCAGTCCTTGAATCGAGTTTGTCGGTGCTGAAACCCGTGCTAGTACCCATGCTGGAATCCTTCTCACCTTTCAATGTGATGGTATTTACTGAGCCTTTGTTGTCAGCGCTTCGAGAAATTGTTCTCTGGGAACGAATATCGGCTCCAGCAATCTTTCTCTTTCGTACTTCCTTCTCCATCCATCCATCCATCCACATCCTGGTTTTACTTTCTCCAAGTCAGACAGCAGGACATCAGAAACAATTCTCGGGTCGCCATACTCTTGTCTAATTTTTCCCATGCAGCATTGTAGTCCTCCTTGCATTTTATCAGGTCGGCACTGCTTTTGTCCAGGCAGCTACGAATAACATAAAGGGCTTCCTGAGTTGTGTATTGCTTTTCCACCAAAAATTTGAAATCTCTACGAAAGTCCAGATAATTTCGAACATTTCCATCAAATTTAGGAAGCGGTGCTCTCTCTGTTCTCAATTTCATGGAAGTTGGACTGGGTGAGGGTGCAGCATAAGAGGGAAAATTAGTTGCGGCAGCTTGGTTGTCAGGTGATAATTCCAATGTAACAGTGGGTTCTGCATCCCCTGGTGGTACAGATTCTGCAGTCTCATCAATGCCTGATCCAGATGGTATATTTGTGTTGTTTGGGTCCACATCGACATCCTGAGAGCTGGCTGGATTTTCCACTTTATCGGTTGTAATATTGTTCTTCGGAGCCATGGTTATTTTATAATCATTTATCATTATACACATAGCATCATATTCTTTTGACACATCTTCCATCCATTCTTCTTCCTGTTCATAATAATCTTTTTCTTCTACAAATATTGCAAATCCTTCATGCTTAGATAGTATACTCTCTCATAGGCTGTTTCAAATATGCCACCTGCTTTGGCAACTTCCGGTTCGGGCCGTCCTTGTTCGATTAGCCGTTGGATGGATTTAGCACTACGGGTAAATGATGATTTAGCAACTATAGTTCTTGCCTTCTTTGCTTCGTTCATTATTACAAATAAACAAATGACGATGAATATATATTTAAGCTTGACATTGTTACCATATGTTCTTCTACAGACTGAAATCTTAATAATTCTCCTTGATTTGAATGGTGAAACAACCTGTAGCGTTTAGGAACCTTTTGTTTATTCTCTTGTATGGATATTTGCCGATTCGTATGAAAGTTGAACCTTATTCAAATCCTATTAAAGACATATCAATTACATATATTAATATAGTTATCAATATAAACAAATACCAATGTATATAAGAGATACTCCATTCCAATATAAACTTACAAGTAGCACAATCCGGAATAATAATAACCCAACTGTCCCGCAACCATTCACGGTTACTTTAAACTATAAATAATGTAATATTTCCAACGTATTTTGTCCTTATATTTGTCCTGATTTCATTTTACAACACATCAACAACCTATCTATGTCAACAACTCGTTGTGTTTTCCGCTTAATTCGCATCGTTCAAAATCCGATTTAGTTTCCAGTCCTACTAAACTATAACACAACGTTTCAGTGTGTTTTATGTATTTTCATATTTTGTTAGAATAAAACAAGTCAGACAGAAACGTCAATTGTCATGCACATTCGGGTCGATACTAAATAACAAGCAAAGAAAGCGTATAGGGTCGAAGCACCTATACACTTTGTAAAACAGAATATCGTCCTTCTTACCTATAGCCACGCTGCATGTGTTGTGTGAAAAATAAACAAACAATTATGCCGATCTTTGATTATGGGTACGTACATGCGTAGCAAGCTGGGCTTATTATATTGTCATTGTAAGTTTTAGAATTGTAAATAATTTTATGTATCCGGAGCAATCAACATCATATCTTCCTTCTCGTGCAACTATGCACAGTAGACAATTCAGGGACAATAGAGCGGTTGCACTCATTGGCGGCCACACACTGCGCTGCAGACTGAATGAAAAGTTGGGACGATTCATCATTGGTCAATCACTAATTATCAAAACATTTTTATTAACTCAAAATGTGATATAAACAACACCAGGCAATTGTGTATGAGTAATTACACCCAACACATAACTAAAACTAATTTATTTCAGCCACATCATCGATATAAAACTTTCATAACAATATTTATGTCAGTTTTCTTACACAGTTTAACGAGAGACATATCCACATGAATATGATGCGTCAATCCAGATATATAGATCGATGCTTAATAAATCAAATTGATTGATTGATCGATTTTTAATAAAACGTTTTGCAATCAGAGATTGAAATAGTTACATGTTTTTACGAAATGTACACATCATACGAAATTAACTAAGATACATTATTCAAAATAAGCTATAAGAGAATATAATATTGCATATGGGATAAAACTATTTCTAAACCGTTCAGTTTTAGCCTTAGTAGACGGAAGGCGATCATTACGCAAGTTATATGAATATTCACTACTAAATGGTAAAAGGTTAAAAAGGCGATTGCTTGGCATATTTACTCGGTTAAAATATTTACGACATGCCACCTAAACTATTACTTGCAATAAAAGTAAATAACAAAGCTACCGCTACCGTATACATAAGTTCAAACACACAAATACAAGGTATATAATGTTTAAAAGAAGAAGATATATGCAACTGACGGGTATCTGTGTAGGTCAACTTTAGGAAGATGGTGCCTCAGTTCTGGTTGTAGTTGGTCCGCGGTGAAGAGGAATTTCCGCATTCGGCTGGTTGTGGTTATCAACGATTTCTGGTAACTGTGCAGAAAGAAACAACAAATTAAAAGGTGTTATGATGACCTTATCAAAAAGTTATGATAAGATGGGAAAATAAAAACGAATAATATATACATCAATTACATTTTGTCTTTGATCATTTTGTAAAAATAAATACAACACTCACCTTCCAGAAATCTGCATCATCATACAACTGTTCACTTGTTGGAGGATCAAACACACTTTGCTTCACAATAAAGCCTGCAAGACAAATGAAAATAAATTATTTCAATGCAGGTTTTTAATGGTGTTTTACTGTCATTGCCCAAATTAATCTAAAATTAAAAGGCAAGAATGCACCAAGGTATGTGCATGGTATCATTATGGATGAGTATATTTTACGTCAGTGGTTTAGTCCTAAAACAATGGGCCTTGCGGTATGAAATATTAGAACGTTTTTGATTCTTGGTCTCGGAAACACTTTCATTTCCTGCATTTTAAGTTAAGTGATGTTGTAAAGTTTATAGTTTTATCATATTAAAACAAAAAAATGCAACCACAACCTGGCTCATTAGTCAGAATATCATTCTAAATTTAAAGGACATTACTAAACCACGAAACAGCGAAACGAAACAGCGAAACAACGAAACAGCGAAACGAAACAGCGAAACAACACGTTTTATATTATTTTTAGTGAAATGAAACTAAATTAGAACGAAGTTAGACAAGATGAAATTAAATCCTTAATTAAGGTGGCTCCCTACAGTTCTCTAAAATTCTAGGTATTTTGAGTAACGTTCGCTTTGAACCGAATTTATATTAGATACACTTAAGACAAGGCAATATGATAATTTCCAGGAAAGTTCAGAAGCTGTGTGCTGTCCATTTATGAACAAATTAAAACAGTGTTCGTGTTGCCATGGCAACCATGATGTTTAATCTTTTGCACTTTTATTGTCTAATTTCACAATAAATTGACAATATCTATATTTTCCTTCGGTGAATTTTTCTGAAATAAATTTTTTTTGAAGATTTATGGCCCAGAAAGGAAAAACATATCAAAATTTGAAGGGAATTTACAAATAAGTTTTCGAGATATTCGTGAATGACGGTTACAGAAAAAGTTATTTGTAGAATTTCTTAAAATTTGAATATGTTGTACCACTCGTCTTGTATAACAAAAATACAAAGTTTAAAAAAATTTCACCGAAGAAAACACGAGAAAATCATCGCTAAAATCGGCGTGGCCAGCATGAAAAGGCATGTAGTAAAACACTGACTACCGGAACACCACCGGAACACCGGAACACCGAAACACCACCATTTTGTTTGGGGTTAGGGTTAGGATTTGGGGTTAGGGTTAGGGTTGGGGGTTAGGGTTGGGGTTAGGTTTAGGTGGTGTTCCGGTGTTCCGGTGGTGTTTCGGTGTTCCGATGGTGTTCCGGTATTCCGGTAGTCAGTGTTTTACTACATGCCGCATGAAAAAAAATCGACTCGACATGAGCACGATCTGCGCATGCGTGTAAATTGTAGCGTGTGATTTATAGTGATTTCAACTTTTTGGCTTACAATACGAAAACAGATATTTCTGACTTGTTTGACATGAAAATAAAATATTAATCGTGAAAATACTAATAAAAAACACTATTATACGCATTGTATTAAATCCAGTGTTAGTTTACATTTGTTTTTGTTGTTAAAATCGGTGTGAAAACTTTTCAAAACATCGAACTACAAGTTTAACTTTTCATATAAAACAACTCATAACTGTTTTATTTGATTTAGCAGATAAAACGATACCTGTGAATTGAATTGATTGACAGAACTTACATATAAGTTTCGGCGACAGTTCACTACTGTTCAAGAGTTATAGAAGACAGTATCGTTTCAGTTTGACAGTTCGCAACACAACAAGTTGAAAATTTTGAGCAATATGAAAGACAATACTGAACGTAAAAACGTAAAAACACACTAAAAGATTGGCTAAACTAGTTAATAACATACGTACTGTTCGAATTCACAAAAAATTAGGATTATAATGAAAAACTGGAGCTTTCTTTGTAGATAAAAACGCCAAAAAACTTCCCGCGGCTTGTTTCAATATTTTTGCCGAACAGTAAACACGACGATTCCACGCGCAGGTCCCAAGTCAAATGGCGGCCCCGCTTGGATTGTTCGAACTATTATGTTACTATATAACAAAAATAAATCCATTGCCAGAAATTACAGCTATGCAAAGGTGAACATTTAATAATTTATTTGTCGAAGGCGAGGTGATTTATATCGGGGAAATTCCTTCACCGAGACGAAGTCGAGAATTAATATTTGAATAAAACAACTCCATAGTTGAATATTTGAATAAAATAACTCCATAGTTCAATATTTGCAATCTAAATTACCTAATCCTTTAATTAATTTTATAATTTGTCATAAAACTTATTATAGTTTGAACTCGTGTAATAATAATTTTATTTGTATAATAATTTTCAAGGCATGCAATAGCCGTTTTGACTTGGAGTCGTTTTGACTTGGGGCCGCCGTTTGACTTGCGGCCGTTTTGACCGAGCACCCCACACACATATGCTCGTTTCACAGCCAAAATTTAATGCCATAACAACCGATGAAAACTTCAAAGAAATTATAACAGAGGAAACTTTGACAGTATTCGAAAAGCAGAAGAGTTTCTATCCTTCCCAATATTCGATAACAAAGATTAATACGTGACACTATTAGTATTAATTATGACTTTTATGTGCTGACGGCGTTGTAGCTTTAAGCAGGGACGCCGGAACTGGGGGGCAGGAGGGGCAGCCACCCCCGTTGCCCTTTAACAGGAGGGGCAAGGGGGGCAAAGGTGAAATAGCGAATTGTCAGAAATGTTAGTGCAATTCTTTTATGAATTTGCTTCAGAAAACGCAAGAAATGCAGTCATTGAGCTTCAAGAATAGCACAATCGCCTGGCGGAGAACTCCCTCACACCCCTATCATCCAATAAATAGAAAACATGGTTAGGCAAAGTTCAATTCCCGATGTTTTGCAAACATCTCTTAGTATATACCAATTCAAAAGTGCCCTTTCACGAAAATCTCCCCCCCTCCTGCCTTCACATCGTTCTGGCGTCCCTGACTTTAAGGATTTCATCTTGTCTAACTTCGTTCTACTTTGATATAAATGTAGTTTATTCCTTTTACTAAAAATAATATAAAACCGTGTTGTTTCGCTGTTTCGTTTCGCTGTTTCGTTGTTTCGTTTCGCGGTTTAGTAATGTCCAAATTTAAAGAACAACCAGCAGTATTGTTGAGACTTTAATTAAAAATGTACTCCCCCCATCCACCCATCCACCCAAACCCCTTCTACTACATCCCTGTTTTACATGCACTTAAATCGAAGCCGCTATTGAAAATAAACCTGCTGTACTTCTTTACGCCAGAAGAGTTAGTTCGTTCGGCTGTTAGTTTTGGAATGGAAAATTAGCGAAAGGAGAATCCAGTAAGAGAAAAGGTTCATAGAAAAACACAGCATTTGACAGAGTGGGAGAATTAAGAAGCTTATTGAGGATAAGGGAATAGACGAAGTCTGTGGAGAACACGCTTAGAAAAGTATTTTCCATTTGATTTCCATGACGACCCAAGTTTTCACAGTAAGAGTATAACACAGAGACTTAATTTTACAGTGAAGGCAGAAGAATTAAAATAATTGGAAACTGCGCAGATATCTGCGAAATAGTAGAATTGTAAGAAGACGAGACAATAACGAAGAAGATAAGGAGGACAATAACGAAGGAACTGAAGGAGGTGGAGTAGAGAAAGAAGATGGAAGAAAGTAGACGGAAATCCACGAGAAGGGAATTGAGGAAAACGAGTTTGTGAGATGAGGAACGGAGACAGGGAATCAGGAACGAATAAGAAGGGACAAAGCTATGCCAAAGTGGTGGCCAAAACTGATGATAGCAGTATAAAGGACATAGCTAAAATGATGATGTTCTATGATTAGATTCCGTAAACAAAAGGCGATCAGTGCTTGTGACTCATTCTGTAAGAAATCTATTATTCAGTTTTATTGTGTTGCAATGTTAAAATCAACCAAACACAGCATCTGTTCGCTTCGCGATGACTAAATGATATAAAAATGTGAAGAAAGCGTCGATCGCACCTCCAGAGAACGATGCAAGAGATCGAGTTACATGGTCCGACTCATAAATAGAGGGGAAAGAGGAAGAAGAGTGCATGTTCTCTACCAGTTGCCTGTGATCAATGTGAATACCAGCTTCTTCTGCAGGGTGACAACCAGTGATGAACGGGAAAAATTGTGTGATCGGCCGTCTGATCTAGAAAGAATCCAGGTTTTACCTTCAAAGCGCACAGACTCTTCATGTTTTTCTCATGGAACGTAAAATAGATCTAAAATCATAGATCTAAAATCGCGCAATCAAGTCAGGTCAAATTAGGCAAACTCTATATAGTAGGTAACCCTCAAATCATGATCGATGAATTTTTAATAATTGGGTAACTTGTTTGCAATGGTCTTTAATTTGGTAACTTTTAAATTAGTCGTGATAAAAAACAGATAGAAGGGAATAGTTTAAACATTGAAAAACTAAATTATGTGGTAAAGCAGTGGTAAAACACTAACCAGTTATTGCCCCAGAGACAATGGAAATGCCAAGAGTGATCAACAAAGCAAGCGCTTGATATCCAGCTCGTTTTGATGACGAATAATCGCTAGGGAATACCGAACCCAAACTAAAATATTGATATAATATATATAATTGTGTAAATTATATATAACTGATGCAAAACTACTCGATTTGTATATTTTGACACAATAAGATGAAATATTATTTAATTTTGGATGAGGTTTACACAGTGAAGTGAATATATTAACTACCTTCAGACAGAGTCCCGATGTTTGCCTGAAGGCAAATCACGTGTCTGGGATTAAGACACGCATGTTTATGTCTCGCGATTCTCTTAAAATAGTCATAAAAATATTCTTTTCGGATTCACCGCGCTCATCGCATGCGTGAGAAGACTGGGACTAGCCTTCAAGTTTGGCTTCAAATTTCCGGTTGGAGGTAGCGTTCTGGTTATTTTCACTTTCACTTTCACTGGGTTTACACTAAATAAAATTACGTTGTCTACCGTCGTTGGGAGTGTTAATAGCTGCTTGAGTAACAGATGGTCACCAGTTACTTATCAACCCAAACCCTTTATCAAAATTAAACGTTGGTAGATGTTTTTACTATCAATTACACTGGTGTGCTAGTTACAAGCCGTTCGAGTACTCGTCCAAGTTACAATTTGCATGATCTCTAACCAAGCTCATCCCGCTACAGTATGCAATTAAGTTTTGTTCTCGAAGAAATAATGGTGTTATTTCTGGTCATGAAAGGGTTTCGTAGATGGAAATTTCGAGTTCAAATTTTATACACTTTTTAGACAACCACGAGCATGAGTTACGAAAAAATGCAACCATAGGAACAGGAATCGAACCAGCGGTCCTGCGATTCTGGTGCAGCGTCCCCACTAACCAAGCCACAACCGTCGCGCCCCAACTACAAATACTGTACCAACATAATATCAACATATGTATTAATTTTACTCGCTCTACATAATATTATTTATTACAAACCTGTCCTTATAGTCATCTGCATCAGCGAGCTTAGCGGCCACGGCTCCAGCAATTCCAGCCAATATGGCGGGCATCCCATGAAGGTTGTTCACTCCGCATGTGTCATGAATATGAAGTTTTTCATCCAAGAATGGCTATAAAATAAAAGACCGTTTTAAATATCTAATATAGTATTACGATTATGACTGCAAGCGGTTCATTTGCAAAATGCAGCATTTGGATTGTTTCCTGAGCAGTCGGTAAGTGGTAGAATAACTATTTTCCCAGTAAAAAGAAATATGTGAAAATGTGACCTTGTAACTTTTAATAATAATAAATTTACTATTCTACTCTAGCTTGTGTTAAGACGTTGTTTACATGTATACAAACTCTGATTATAACAAAATGGGGACATTGTGATTAGTGTTTTCCGAAGAATGCCCTTGTTTTTTATAGTCATATATGTAATATAATATAATAAATAACTTATTGAACGAGCTTGTTCGGTCCAGACAGAAGAAAATTCAGTCGTTCTTCTTTCGTAAAAAGAAGAACTCAACTAATATCCTGCAGTTCGGAGGTCTCGCTCAGTAAATTACATATATATGTGACTAATTAATCTTTCGGTACCAAGGAATCAGTTTCCCCGAAACAACTTTCGATGTTTGATTTATTCTCAACGTATAAAAAGATGAAGGAGCTATTATACTAAAATCCTTTACCAGCAGGCAATTTCGCGAAATATAAGATGAAACACACTCCGTATAATATCAGCTTGTTTGAGTTTATAAGATGCTAATATTCGGAGAGTGTTTAATTTAATTTACTAAACAACATTTTTTATACAACAAAGTCTCCATTCAATACATTTGTGCTGCATTTTTTAATGGAATCTTAGCTCAGATACAAACATTTAACAATTATTCGCCGAAGGCGGGATATTAATATCGGTGAATAAAAACCGAGACAAAGTCGAGGTTTTTATTCACGATAATCACGGAGCCTGAGGTGAATAATTGTTTTAGTATAATTTCATAGGTGATTATTTGAAAAAAAATAAAAAATACACATTTCTTCGTCATTTAATTGACAAAACGGCTTCGGATACCATTTCGAAAATCGCTAATAGGTGATTATCGCGTTATAATCACCTCAACGGCAACCAATCAGCGTGGGGAATTTTCAATAATCACCTATGTAATTATACTAATTGAAATTAAACGACCTTTGTCAATTTATTCAAGTTAATTTATGAACTATTTAAGTGAATTTCAGTCGCACAGCTGTTTTCAATCAATTTTAGAAATAGATATCAATATGTGGATCCAATACTGCGTACCGTGATATACTTATATCCTGCAACACTGAGAATTGCGGCCAGAAAACCAATAAGAATAGCTCCCCATGGTTCAATGATCATATTAGCAAGTGTTCCAACTGCCACACCACCAGCCAGAGTAGCATTCTGAACATGCACCTGTTGAAAAATACATTAAACCGTTAGAATATTACACAACATGCAGCCGGTATACTAGTTTGAACGGTGAAGTGTGTGGGAAGTTCAATAAAATTTACTCGCCAGATTTATAAACCCTTTCACTAACAATGCATGTGTGGTAGGCTGTCCCCAGCTTTTTTATTGTTCTCTGCAATCTCTGGTTTCCTATCACAACTTTTGAACAGAAATGTGCCTCGGGGTATTTGTAAGAGGAGTAGTCATATATTTCGGACGTCATTTCTAGTTCCTCGTGCCATGTAACTGGGATAAAGTAAGAGCATCGAGCACGCATGAAACTTTCTCACGTCCCTTATCCACTTTTAGTGCATGATTATGAAGGAAAAATATTACATTTGTTACATGATTAAGTTCACTGATCATACCATGTCAAGTTTCCTGTCTGTGTTAATGAATGCCGAGACAGCAAACGTTGTAACACAACAAGCCACAAGTGAAAGATATGTATTAATAACAGCTCTCTGTTGGTCGACTGCTGGTGAAACCAATACACTGTTGAAACTTGGCCAGTACATCCACAAGAAGATAGTTCCTACATGATTACATAGAAAAGTTATAGCTTTCTCTAGCCTTTCCCAACCTTTAAAGGCGTCAATGTTGCATGTGGTCCTAACCGTGTGGGGGCTCATTCACTCTAATTTTATTCATTCCTTTAACTTTCAAGTTGCATTGTTATGTTTGCCAAGGGCAAGGAGTTAACCTCGCTGGGATTTCGAGTCAGTTCGTTAGCCCCTCATCAAGGATTACTTTTACTCTATGTTATTCATATGTATTCATTTTATTCATATGTACTTATTTATCATTGATGAAAGTTTATAAATTAAAATTAAATCACTTAGTTCATGATTGAGTCGGTTTTCTCTCATCTTTCGCTGTGAATAAAACGTGTGTTTCCTCCGAGCTTAAAGTTTCGTGGCGCTTAACCTATTGTTATTACATTATTATACATTCAAACTCTATTCTCGTTTATTATTATACATTTAATATGTATTCTCGTTTCTAATTGGTCAGAAAGCACCGGCTAATTTTCAGTATTCGGCATTTATTACATATTTCCGCCGATGACGTCATCAGCGTCCAATAACTGTTTTTGGGATCGAACTTGCATCCAAAAAAAAATTATTGGACTCTCTCGTGCCCAAATCCTTGCGCGGCCAAAAGCTTGAACCTATAAACGCGCGAAAAAAAAAAAATAACCTACAGCAGATTTGCTTCGCTGAATGAAAGTGAACTCTCCAAATTATTGGCAGATAACGATAGTGAAAGCACGAAAAAAGCCACAAAGGGGTAAATAGAAGTAGAAATAGAATATTTAGCTCACTTTTGACTTTGTGCAAGGTGTTTGATATTCAAATTGTACTTTTCCTACCTCATGAACACGAATCGTTTTATACTTTTCTCATGTCTTTAAATGTATAATAAAACAATTATTGGATTCGGCTTTCGCATGATATCAAGAATTATTCAGACCTCGGTCTATGTTATCCGCCTCAGCTTCGCTTCGGCAGATAACATTGACCTCGGTCTGAATAATTCTTGATATCATGCTCAGCCTCATCCAATAATTGCTTATTATTGGTCAACATGCCATAGATAATTCTCATTATTATTTACTGCGCTTCGGCGATAACATTGACCGAGGTCTGAATAATTTTTGATGTTATGCTCAGCCTCATACAACCCTGAGAATCAATGTATAATTGCTAGAAGAGGTAATTGACTACAACCACGACCTCGGTAACCTTTCACCACGATGCTTACTGCACGCGCCACGGTTAATAATCAACTTAGTTATACCTCGGTAACTAACCTATACCTGTTTGTGATGTTACTCTGAGTGTGCATCCACATGCACCGGGCAAGCTGAAAAGTTTGCCTGATGACGGTGGGAATCTAACCCGCGACCTTTGGGATACTAGTCCAATGCTAGACCAACTGAGCTACGAGGTCAAGTCGGTTAGTCAGAATTCTCGGTGTTTGTTTCTCCATTTTTGATCCAATTCTTAACATGGAATCCTCCGAAATTGAGCACTTCGTCGTTGCCCGTGGTAAGGTTGGTGGCTTCGTCTGTGGAGCAAACAAATCGAGTCGCAGATATCATCGACGTAAGCATTAGTATCATGCTGAGCTATTAAACACGATTCTGACTGTAGTAGACTTTTTCTCTGGGCGTAGGACGGCATGATGCGAGATGTAGTACACCGGACCTTTCCACTCCTTAATTTCCTTTTCAGTTAGCTTCCTTGCAAATCCCAAATTCTCCATCTCTTTAATCTGCTCATCGTAGCTGGAGGCATATTTCGGTTGATTCGCGAGTCGCCTTTCGGTGGTTTCGAGCTTCTTTATCACTTGTGGATAATTATTGGGCAGGGACTGTGGGTCTCTCTTCCAGGGATATTTCATTGTCCACTTTCCATTTTGCAGTTGACAGGACTCTTCAATTTCGTTCAATACTGCTCATTCAGCTGCAGGAATTTCAGCTTCTTTACAGGTGCATATATGGCGATATAGCAACTCCCATTGATTCAGTGCTCCTGAAGGATGTAAGGTCGACAGGCGTAGCAACACGTATGTGGAGGATCTGTTTTAGGTCTGGCATAAAACATTCTGCATTGGAACCAAAGACTATACCCACCCCAAGGGACTATTTCTTGCAACAACATTGTTTCTGACTTTCGTCTTACCAACATGGAACCGGGAATAGTTTTATTCCAACGAGCAGATCTATTGGACCTGCTCTGCGTTTCAACTTGTAACTGGATATTCCCAGAACCGTCGATAGATAATGCGTATCTACGTCAAGAGTGTCAGACATTTGTGCAGACAGGGACCTTATATATCAGGGTGTAAGCTACAGTAAAAAATTCCGCGTTAAACGCGGTTTTCCCAATTACCTTGAGGTCGCAATTTCCCAATTTGGGTCAGCCAAAAAATAGTTATAGAAATTCAATGTTGTTAATACGCCATTAAAAACATATTTATAACTACAATTGCTCAAAATTACTCCCAAAATGCGGGAAATGCCATTTCAAAGACAAAAAAAAATAAAAATCGAGAGGGGACAACCGCATGCCCCCAGACTCACAAAGAAATGCCCGGCTTCAGGCTAAAATAAATTTCCCAATTTCAGGTAAACGCGGATTTTTTTTTTACTTCTGGCTAACACCCTGTATATACTGGTACTCATATATTCTTCTGCTTCACCGACTTTGGTGATGACAATCCGAGATTCAATGACTCTGCATAACTGCTTCGTATCATGCTTACTTGTGCTCCGCTATCGTAGAAGATATTGACTTCTGTGCTTCGCCGTTCTTTCCCTTCACTTTCGTCTTGAACACATGTAGTCTGCGAACAGGAACCGGCTAGATTTCTTTTACGAGTCATTTCGTTTATTAGAATAAACCACAATGAATGTAATGAGAAAGATTTCTGTATCGAAATTAGAACATTTTAATGTTAAAACATTTCAATTAGAATATTAATTAAAATGCGTCCAGTCGCTGCCAAAATATAAAATATTGCCGTCTACAGACTCATCAATTTGGCTTCACATATATTTCATGCAAACACTGTCATATTATTAAAAGCAAAACTTTTATCGTTGCTATAAACAGAAACGTATTCGATAGCTAGTCGATATACGTTTCATAATATTAACGACAACATAGTCTTCACTCTTGAATGTTCATGCTTTCACAACGTTAAGGCCCTGTCACACTATTGCGTATCGTACTAGTGTATGCCAGCGTATGAAAAATATCAATCATACGCCGGTATACGCTGACATACGCTAGGGGTATACGTTAGGCATAGGCAGAAAATATTTTTTAATTTAAGCATGTTCAAAAATTTTGTGCGTATCGGACGTATGCTTTATACGATAAGCATACTCTAGGCACACGCTGAATACGCCAGAGGTACGCCAGATGTACGTAACTCATACGCTGGCATTTCAAAGGGTTTTTGTGCGTATGAAAATTATTTCATTAATTTTCATACGCTTCTCATACGTTTCTCTCATACGCAATAGTGTGACAGGGTCTTTAACTCAACTGTCTGTATCAGCTCACTTCAACTGACGGTATATAAAACATCATATTTGCATTCTATTTAAAACCTAATGTCTAACCCGGCCTAACCCTAGCACACATACAAAAGTCATTTTAACACTATAATCGGAAATCCACGACGACCATCATCGAGGTTCAAATGTCAATGAGTTTTTATGAACACTTTGATAGGGCACTTTGATAGGGCGAACTAGCAGCTTAACTGAACCTGACAATCTCACATGTAGTACATCCGAAATATTTCTCCAATTAAATTGGCCCAAAACGTTAATGTTTTTCTTGTTCGCATTTACTCGACTATATTCATCTATAAATCAGAATCAAGTCATCAACAAAGTTTTGCAAATTTTTGCTGACCTCAGTAATAAACGCAGACCTCCTACTTAATGTCAGTCATATGTTCCCATGTGACCATAATTCTCCAATCAGAAAGCTTCGTTCGTAGGCGAACGAAGTCTCCGAAAATTTGAAGTCATTCGGGCAGGCGTTTATTATTACGAGGCCCACCTGAATAAACGCCTGTTCGCAGGCTAGAACACATGTGACTGGAGTGCACGGTTATGAGGATTTACCTTCTTCCATGTGAAGAAGTTTATGCTGTGGCTTCTTGCATGGGCCACCATCTTGTCTCCTTTCAGGGCATTCTCGCTTGCGCAGACAGTTATTGGCCGTATGCCCCTTCTTTTCAAACATTAGAAACACGCCTTTTGCTCTTTGACTATTTTCCACCATTCATTGACGGGCATGGACAAAACCTTTGGGCACTCATCAATATAGTGTACCTCTTTTCATACATAGCAGGGTGTGTTGTTCCCAAACGAATTCTTACTCTGCGCAACAGTACCTATGGCTGATCGAACCTTTCGAATGGTTGCACCCAAGCGCAATCTGGCTGTCATTTCGTCTTCCATCCATTTTAACAGATTCTCCATGAATGGTTCCAATTTCTGAACATGAATGTGGCGGGAACAAACCTTTATATCATCCTTTGTAATTTTTCTCGATAAGTGAGATGACACGACTATTGTTAATGTCTTCTCCCGCCTGGATAGGGTAAAATTTCTCGAGATCACCAGATGTATCTGAAATTATTTTTGGATACCCATAGTTTTGATCTAAATATTGCCACATCACTTTCAAGTCAGTACTTATACCTTCAACTAACTTGGAGGGCTCTGGACCAAGGCAGGAACGGAGTATAGTAATGGCATCCCTCTCTGAGCAGTGTATTAAACTCAATTGCATGTTGAAAGTCGACTTTGAATATAGAATACTTTCGTACATTGCCGAGAATCTGAGGGAGTTTCGGTTTTTCATGCTTTAACACATGAGGCTTATGTAAACCGGAAATGGTTTCATCATCCTTAATTTCGACATTTTTTGTCACTGAATTTTGCTCAATTGATTCATTTTCCAGATCAGGCAAATCTTCAGCAACATCATGCCGGGGGGGGGGGGTTCCTTCCTTTTCATGGTCGTTAACAGTAATCATAAATTCAGTGTACTCACGCGTGCATTGTTCTATGTCCAGTTTTCGGCTTCGTCGTATTCAGTATCGTCTAAGTACATTGTGTATTCATCCTGTTTACTACCTAGATTATCGTACGCGATCTTCACATCTTTATCCGACGCGTGTATTTCGGCAGACGAGCGTTTTGGTTTTAGCATCATTTTTCCAGTGTTTAGGGCTCGAGTCAACGCACTCTTTCCAGCTCTACGAACGTTATTTGCTTTATCTTTATCTTTATTTTCCTTTAAATGTTCGCTCTTTAACGGTATAGCATAAATTTACTGCACCTGTCCAAGCTTGTACAACTCAATTTGTAACAGTTCCTTTATTTCTTACATATACATTGCACTGATTGCAGTGCAGTAACCTCAAAGGTCCAGACACACCGGACGCGATTCGACAACGCGACGCGATTCTTTGGTTTTTGAAAGTTAATAAAACAGCCAATGAGAGCAAATTTTGAAAGATATGTAGACCAAATAACTTAAAATGTTATAGCGCTTCTAAATATTTGGAAAATTTAAACTAGAATCAAAGTTATCGGTCAGTGAAAATCGAAACATCGCGTCGCGTTTTCGAATCGCGTCCGGTGTGTCTGGACCTTAACAAAACAACAGCTATTTACATAATAACACGATAAGTTAATTTCTTTACAGCGATTCAAGCACATTTCATTCCTGTACGTAATCCGATCATGTCCGGCACGTTACGAACAGTTCCGGAACTCAACGAAACATACATACATACATACATATTTTATTGTGTTCCTCAAATGAGGCTTTTCGAAACTAATTTACATTGAATGATGATAGTTATTAATTATAATTTACTAGTATAAAATTTTCTATTATTAAAAGTAGTCCATTACTAAGTATATAAAAGTATTGCTAAAATGTCTTTCTTTAACTTGTTCTTAAAACTTTTCAAGGAGGGCATTAGCTTTGTGTTATTGTCCAGATCGTTCCATAGTTTCGCCCCTCTGTAATGGAACGTTCTCTGACTGGTGGTGGTATTATACATTGGGATTTGAACGTTTTCTAAATTTATTGCACAAATAAGGTGGGGCTAACTTGCACGTGTGAATACATCAATACACTTGTATACATCATGATTGTATCTCTAAAAAGAGTTCCTTCACCGGAAGCCAATTCAGTTCCCGCAGTTTTGGTGAGATCTGGTCGAACTTCTTGGTGTTTGTCACGATCCTGCACGCAAAATTTTGTACCAATTGCAACTTGTTGATGTTTTTGACCGAACTGTTCGACCAAGCGGAGGAGCAATAGAGAAGTTCATTTATTACCAATGCTGATACCAAGAGGGATATAGTTTCGTTATCAAAACATATTTGCTTACTCATTCGATCTGTGACAATTTATTTTATTATAATTATTATTAAAAACTTATTTAGAAACAATAAACTTAATTTCTGCTTTTAAAGGGTTTGTTTAAAAGAAAAAAGAACATTTACAAAATTACAGCATCTGTAATATGATTCTGTATGAATTTTTAAAATTATCACAAACAATGTTAACAGTCACTTGATCGATATAGGTTTTAGTAAGAATTAACTGCTTTAAAAGAATATGCCGACAATTGCTCATAAATATCTAAAATTTCGTTGGGTAATGTATTCCAGGAGTAAGCTCCTCGGTACGAAAATATTTTTTCATAAGAGATCTATTGGGTTTGTCGACATGCAAGAAGTAGCTTACGCCGCTGTTGCTCCGCGTTTGATGATTGCGTTATCACGGTATGAGAACATGTTGCAGATGTGCTCTGGTGCAATATCACTGATAGCCTTGGACGTAATTAAAAACTCTCTTCTTTTAAGAATATTTTCTATTGAGCTCCATCCTAGAGTCCGCAAAATTGTTTTTGATCTTATCTCGAAATTTGAGCTAGTTATTGTACGGGCAGCTCGTTTCTGCATTTTGTAAAGTTTTTCTAAATTTGTCCTATTTCCGTCGTTCCAGATTGTTGAGCAGTATGTAAAGTAGGGAACTACCAAAGAGTTGTACATACAGATTAGATCGCTGTGGGATACATATGGCTTTGCCCTTCTAAGTTAATATGTTCTGTCCACTGTAATTCATTGTCAGTCATAATAACTAGGATTTTCTTTTGTTTGACTTGTTTGATAATGGAACCGTTTATTAATATTCGGAGGTCAGTAGGAGATTGGTCAAGTTGTTTTTTAGAGGCCAATTAGACAACAGTCGGTTTTCTTAGTGTTTAATGTCAACTTGTTGGCTTCCAACCATTTGTCAAAGTGAAGTAGGTCGGAATGTATTTTTGCATTCAATTTCAGTTGGGGACTTTCCTGTGCATGATAGATTAGTATCGTCAGCAAACATGGATGCTTGCGTATGCTTGAGGCAATTTGGTAAGCATTTATGTGTAGCGAAAATAGTAAAGGTCCCAAGTTGGAGCCTTGTGGTATTCCGCATAGGACAATTTCTTGCTGTGACTTTACGTTGTTAACTACGCAAACTTGTTTCCTGTTATTTAAGTAGGATGTGAAAAGTTTTAGAGCTGTCCCCCTTTATTCCGTATTGTTTCAGCTTTCGCAAAAGAATAGGATGGTCAACCGTGTCGAATGCTTTTTTCAAAGTCTAAGAAGAGGACCCCGTTAATCAGACCCATGTCCATATTTAACAACCATTGATTTGTACAATTTAGAAGTGCAGTTTCTGTGAAATGGTTTGACCGAAAACCTGATTGCGGTCATTCTCAACGATGTACGAACTTTTATTGATCATAAATAATTTTTTCTAAGATTTTGGCAACTGCAAGAATAACTGATATAGGCCGGAAGTTCCCACATTCAGCCTTGTCTCCGTCTTTGTAAATTGGCGTCATCCTAGCAAGTTTCAAGCACAGTTTCAAGTCATCTGGAAAGACACCAGTATCGAATACAAGAATGAAAATGTGCAGTAAAGAGTCATATGTATGGTTTCTCCAGCTAATTTGATTAGTGTGTTTGGTATTTTTTGGGTCCAATTTCCGCAAAAAAGTTATTAAATGTGTTTGCTATGTTAACATCGCCTGTAATAGTTTGGTCTCCATATTTAACATTGTTGATAATGTTACTAGTTTTAGCCGTTCTATTAAAGGACATTGGCAACCAAAATTTTTATTACTTATATCTATTAGGTATACTTACGGAATATTTAATTTCATATTTTGGCCGGTTTGTCGCGTTTAGTTGCTGAGAAAATTTGATTGAATTTGAGAAAATTTGAACAGTTGTCCGCCATTTTGAAAATAAGCGCGTATGCTAATTTATGCCACAAAATGCATTATCTGACGTCATTGGCTGGGTAAACACAATCTCACGACTATAAACAATGCAGTGTATTACCACGTGTAGTGCATTTTGAGCCAAAACAAAAGGCAGAAACGTTTTACCAAGTATGTAACTTGTTTGTAACACTATTTCTCATAGTATATATCCTACTCCATGTTAAATAAGCGCAGAAATTCGAGTGTAACAAGGCAAATACTAATGCAATATTTTATGATCAATTACCTGTACGGTAAATTGCGCCATTTCTTGCTTTCCCAGTCGCTCGATATGTTTTTATCTGATAGTGTAGACTTCTCTTGTTTGATTGCGAAGAGTGTTGGCCAGTATAACGCTCAAAACGACATATTTTTAGCTAACATAACACGCACGCAATAGAACTCTCTCTTGTAGTTTTGGTGCTACCCAGCCAATGACGTCACAAAGTTCATTGACCTTCGAGATAACTTTTCAAAAAATTTTTCCAAGATGGCGGCGAAACTGGCCGAAACACAAAGTTTGCATGCATTTTACTGTCATCCACGGTTGTCGATCACTTCTTACTTCCCTTGGCCTTAGAGGTGCGTTTAAATCGCCTATTAGCAAAAATATTTTATTCCATTCCTGTATGGCCGTGTTTGGATCTGAATATATCTTTATAAATTGTGAAAATACTTGTTTTAAGTCGTTTTTAAAATTTTCGGGGTTTAGCTAATTTGTATATTGCCTTTTTTCAATGGTTTTGGGCTTTCTTTTAGGAATTCCAACCTTTCTGAAAATATAGACCTGGTTGTAATCACTTATACCTAGGTCAACAACATCCGCTGTAATAGTTTTTGAATCGTCGGCTTTTCAGATTATCAAGTCTACAAGCGTCTTCGTTGACTCGGTTGTTCTAGTGAGTTTATTTATAAGTTGCGACAGTGATATGTGTTTAACAATTCCTTAAACGGTTTTGACTTACTGTGTAGAGTATCGTTAGGCAATAAGTTTGTGTTGAAGTCTCCAGTTATTATAGTTTCTTCCTTCTCTTTGTCGATATTTTGAAGATAAATTTCAAAACAATCGAGAATTAGAATTTGGTGGTCGATACCATGTCGAAATAATTACTGGTTTGGAATTCGGTTTTTTTATTTCAATACAAGCTGCCTCAACATTTTCTGAGATTAATGCTAGCCTTTCCACGTATGGTATAATGTTGCGTATGTAAATTACTACACCCCCATCATTCCTATTTCTATCGCGTCTTGTTAGATTGTATCCTTGGATCCACCTCCGAGTTTTTAATTGTTTTATCTAGCCTTGTTTCGTTGATGATAATAAGGAGACCACTTCAGTGATATGGCAATCATATGTCAAATTGGTATCCATTATTAATCCTAAATCCTTAGCTTGGCTGAAGGAACTGGCCTGAAAGTTTCACATAGGAAATTTAGGTTCATATCTGAGAGAAGATTTTGTAACAGTTGCCGTGTTCCGAATTCCGATAAGCAGATATTTGGTTTTAAGTATGACCAAGGTTTGGAATGAATCTCTCTCTACATCCACATGGCCTACCTCTTGGAAAATTGGACTTTTCCAAACAATGGACTTTTCCAAAGCATTTGACAATGTAAAATACGCAAAACTGAGTGAAAAATTGAAATCGAGTTCTATGAACCCTTATTTAGCAAAATGGTACTTAAATTGGACCTTGTTGGTGGGCATAGATGTTATAATGTTTTTAACTTCAGAGCAGGAGACAGGGTTAAATTGAACATCTCAGAATCGTATGCTGGATAATGTCTATTAAAAGCCGTGGTAGATGGAATATCAGGGCAAATGTTATTATATTAATTGGGATGCTGCCATGGCTGTATTTTCCCCAACGGAAGAAAAAGAAGTGGTTGAACTCTTCATCGACTATCTTTGGGTCTTTGCTGTACACGATCGATTCTTTCTTTATAAGCGACAGCATCTAGTTGATAATTTTCCATAATGAACCTGTCTTGTTTTTATGCCTCCTTACTTCGATCATTGTGGACACGATCTCTTTATGCTCTAATGAGTTCAGTCTTAACAGCATTACGAGCTGCTTTGAAGTTGCGCCAATCGCCAAGGTTACGTGTCTTAATGAGAAGACCGTCGATCTCTCCTACCCCATAAGTTCTTCTATTTCAGGTGTCACAAAGGGGCACGGTCTGCCACGGACTTTTAAAGTCTTTATTAGTCAAGAGTGGTTTCATCCTTGAGATTCGTCATAGAAAATTTTGTTTAATAGTTTTTCATAATATAATAATTTAGTTTTTCATTAATATCTTTGACTGAAAAGATGGAAATAAGGCGTTCAGATTTAGACGCGAGATGAGCGGCAAACTATTTGGGATCATAGTTCTTATAGCTACGAACAGTAATGTGGGTGGGTTGTGGCTTGGTAGACTTTAACTTAAGCGTAACGTACACTGGTAGATGATCACTGATAGTGCAGTTTAGGACACCACTGTCACGTACGATCTTAGGAGAACTGCAGACCAGAATCACATGGCTGATTTCCGTAATGCCAGTTGGAGATATATGATTCGATTATTTGTTTGCGATTGAGTTCTGACGTCATTTCGGTTAATGATTTACAATGTTTGTATAATGTTTGTATAATGGTAAATTTACAGTTACAACTTTTGAAAGTCGCTTTTCACGTTGTTTGAATTGTCTATTGAACCCCCAAAATGGCGGATTTTGGCCTTCGTGAGAAAGGCTAATTGCATTGACACGAATTACTAAATGAGCTCATCAGTACTTATTATTCTAAAGTCTGTTAAAACGTGATTTTAAAATTCTCGTATTTCCTACGCCGAATTAAATCCACCTCAAAGGTGCATAGAACTAGTAGGGCTCATGGGATTTAGTGTGTTATTCGTTTTTAAGGTTTTCATAGTGTGACAAGATGCATTTGGATTTTTAATCATTTTTAATGGAATGAATGGAAAATATACAAGCAACAAAATTACATTCTGTAAATTTCAAAGAGTTGAATCAACTCCAAAAGTGTTATTCTGTCACCAAAATCTTAACTCCTTGAAATTTACAGTAAAAGGCTGACTTCAACACGTGTTAATGAAAAATCTTTGTGCATTAGTTGCAAAAGACAAGGCAACATACGTAAATATTTGTGTGAAACATGTATTTAAATCAGCATTTGTCGCAAGTTGAAGAAATTTTGTTGCTCGTATTTCTTGACTTGTACTGTCTCTAACAACTGACCAATCATGGCAAAGATATCTGAATGATACACTGATCCTTCCTTAGCGTTGTTATCAGTGTCCTCTGGTCTTTTTAACACGAAGCTTAATGCCAAACCAAAGTAAGCACCAAAACAATGAATAACCATTGAACCACCAGCATCTGCAACCTTCAATTCTTCCAATAAAATGAACTCGTTCACAGCAAACATGAGGATTTCAATAAATGCGATGATCAACAGTTGAAGACGACTGACTTTGCCCAAAAGAGCACCAAATGTTATAAGCACAGCAGCGGCAGAGAAATCTGCAGTGATCAAGCTATAGAAACAATGGAAATGACACGCAAACAATTAAACATCACCAGTTGCACCCACCAGATACTGTAGCTTTGCGTATAATGTACTGTAAAATGAAATTTACAATGAGTTTCTCCGTACTCTATACTTTAAATCAGAAGTACCTTGACGCCATCTCGCTCAGAAATACAGTATAAAGCACGTGAACAATTCTTCCGGGGAAACATTGTAAATTTCATTGACACCTTTTGAAAATTATTTGAAAAGGGGAATATATATCCTAAAACACAAGTATATAATTGTGTGCATACGAGAGTATTTGATGATGTTCTGAGTAACGTGATAGTTAGCTATAGGAATTAGGAAATATAATAATTTAGCGAATGATAACTAATTTGTATATACTGTAAGTCTTGTATATAATATAAGTTTTGGACAGACTGCAGCCGCAGTGACTTCTCAGATTTAGTTAAAGCGGATCCCCACGATCGTTTGCTTTGATTTGAAAATTATACATTATACAGTATGTAGAAAGTACGGTATATTTGAAAAAAAGTTATCTTCTAATATTTCCCACATACCTTTTCATGTTTAGTTTAATATGGAAGCCAGACTGTCCACGATGATGAATACATCCTTGAATAATGCATGATATACCACTGAATGGCCAGGGCAGAAATAAAGAAGTTGTAACCAACAGCTCCATAACCATATTTCCTTAAGAAAGTCATCAGGAATCCAAAGCCGACGAAAATCATCACATGAACATCTTGGAACACTAGATGAGAAATTCAACAGATATAATGATGATAAAGCAGGAATGCATTGGAATCATACATATACATGTTGAAGGATAATTTTGTAGATGGAAATTCTGAGTGAAAATTTTAATACATTTATTAGAACTAAGTCAACTAACCAAGAGCAGTTGCGAATAATGCGACATGGGCCTTCTGGTAGGAATCGAACCTGCGGCTCTGCGATTCGAGCTCCAACTGCTAGTTCATGTATATAAACTAGGTGATGCAACGGTAAGGGCGGCAAGTTCGATTCCTGCCAGAGGGCCTATAGTACTTGCATCATTTTTTCGCACCTGCTCTTGGATAGGTGTAAATAAATGTATAAAATTTACTCTCGATATTTCCATCTTCAATCCAATGATTACATATACATTGATTGTAAAATTATAATCATTTAAATGTTATTGTTGACATAATAATGGAAGTTAACAGAGAATTAAGAGGCGCTAGCTATAAACGTCACTTTCTAGGGTCATTTGAATATGTAGATTATTCAATACATGAATATATTAAATAAAAACCGACAACGTGGGTCTGGCATCATTCGACATTCGCATAGTGCTTTCTTTCCCGAAGTTAGTTTCAGTGTAATTCTTTCGAAATTTCAACAGGAAATGCCCGAATATAAAACCAATAAATCGATTTTTATGCACAGAATACGAAACGAAAAAATGCCATCATCAATTTGCAACATGTTCAAAATTAAAATAAATGACAGATATGATTTAAGAAGTAACAACAACAACTATGATCTTGGAAAACCTGAAACAAATTTTATGAAAAAGAGCTTCAGTTATTCAGCTGCATCCCTTTGGAATGACTTATCAACTACAGCAAAAGAAAAAGGCATTAGCCTTAACAAATTTAAACGTATTCTTGACGGCACTTGATTCCTTTTGGTAACTTTGTAAATATTTAATTAGGATAGGATATTTTTAGATACTAATGTAGTGCATGCAATTATTAAGTTCGTTATGTTTTCTCTGTTTTTGTGTGTATATTTGTGTTATTATATTTATATAGCTTGTAAATACTGTAATAAACGGCCTCTTGAAAAGCAGGTGCCTACGAGCCCTGAAGAGCTACCGTTTTAAAATATTTTTAAATAATAATAATAATAATAATCCAGCTGTTATTTCCTCGGCAGTTCCGGGTTGTTGTCGCCTGCATCGCGTTCGCTAGTGTCGCCTGTCATTCGCACTATTTGGTCGTGGTGTTTTCGTTGTCAGCCTCGAGTCCGCCTTCCTTTCCTCAGAATGTTATGGCACCACCTACGAGTCCATTTACTCTACGTTTAAAGGTTTCGTCAGCTCAGCATGGTGGCCATCCGTACGTCGGCATCTGTCAATTCGCCGTATTTTTAGTCGATATGTGCATGTCTTGGTTCGTCGCAGCGATCGATGCACATTAAGGTTTGCTATATTCGCATTTCGTTTGTGTTTGCATTGATTCGCTATTCGCATGTATTCGTTCTTCGCAAGTATTTGCATTTACAGATAGATAAGTAGATGTTTTAATCATACCATGCAACATTGCAGCCAGGCTGAATTACAGGGTTAGGTTAAAATGCGGAAGCGGATGCGGAACGGAACGGATGCGAAATGGAACTGATGGGGTTAAAATGCGGAACGGAACGGATGGGTTAAAATGCGGAACGGAACGAATATGAGGTTAAAACTTATTTTAAAACCCATATCCGTTCCGTTCCGCATTTTAACCCCATATCCGTTCCGTTCCGCATCCGTTCCGTTCCGCATCCGCATTTTAACCTAAGCCCTGAATTACATTTATATTTACAAATGTTTAGATTAATTAAGGGAAAGATGGTTTGGAGACTCCCCCCTACTGTGAAATTCAGGCAAAAATCATGTAAAATTAAGTTAAATTTAAGACATTTTCAGATAAAATTCAGCGTAATAAATTAATTATTTTTGTGAAATGATAACCATTTTTGTAAAATATAGTCAATTTACATGCAATTTGTTTGCGAATTTGCTTTAGAAAACGCCAGAAATTTAGTCCTAGAGCTTCAAGAATGTAAAAATTTTCTGTGGGAGGACCCCCAGACTCCCCTTTTCTCCCAAAACTTAGTATGAGAGTGTCAAACAATCACAAAAAGCTTTATTATAATTATTACATGGATAATCCTCCGATATCCCTCCCCTCAAAATGTCAGATGCTTTGCTACGTCCCTGATGGTTGTATTCGAAACCGATTTCAGTTTTAAGATATCCTTAGTCTGCTCTTCTAAATGGATACATGAAATCACCTATGGCTTATTTTAGTTTTTTGGCGCCAGGTTTGTGAAGTAATTTACTCGCCAAAAAGTAGCAGTTCCAAAAACAAAAAAAAGCATACGATTTGTAAGAATGATTTGTTCTATGTTTATGGGATATTTAGTACAAAGGGATGAAATTAAAATTAAAGAAATTGAAGCATACTGGCACTTTTGCATGCATTTTTGAAAGGCATGCAAAGACATTTGCAACAGATGCCAGGAGATACGTTGGGTGGGGGCGACATTCTCTAAAGCCCGGCGCACACTGGAGATATCAGCTGAGCTGAGCGTCACTCGTGACTGTTGGCGTAAGCAAGTTCCCCCAGTGTGCGGTGGCGTTTTGAGCGATTTCAGCCACGCGTGCCATCGGCACCGAATATTCAACATGTTCAATAATTTTAGCCACGAATGAACATTTCCCCCAAGTGTGCGCGCTCGAATAGCTGCCACCTTTCATTGTAGATCGAATAGGCATGCGTAATAAAACATAAGACAAAAGGAAAATAATTAATGAGGAATATTCATATGTCGCTACTCAAGTATCACATTCCTCATTAATTATTTCCCTTTTGTCTTATGTTTTATTACGCATGCCTATTCGATCTACAATGAAAGGTGATAGCTTTTCGAGCGCGCACACTTGGGGGAAATGTTCATTCGTGACTGAAATTATTCAACATGTTGAATATTTGGTGCCGATGGCATGCACGCGTGGAGTGAAATCGCTCAAAACGCCACCGCACACTTGGGGAACTTGCTTACGCCAACAGTCACGAGTGACGCTCAGCTCGGCTGATATCTCCAGTGTGCGCCGGGCTTAAGGTTCCAGCACATTACCCTGATCCAGGAAATCCTGGCCACAACATGAATGTGTTCAAGACTCCGACTACGCTGAATGACGGACAACAACAACCTGCATGTTGATAATTTCGCCCCTAGAGCCAATCTAAAATATTTTTTTAAAGACGGTGCCATTTCATCTGCCGCTAGTGAGGTGAAAGAAGCAGCAGGTCGGTATTTTAGTTGAGGAGAAGCACATGCTTGAGTATATCAGACATCTTGAGGAACTGCAAATTGTATCTATGATAAGAGAGAATTCCGGATTGTACTCCTTCAATTCCGAATTCTGGAGGAGGGGGGGGGAAATTGAAAATTTTAAAAACTTGGAGGGAGGGGCATCGAAAATTTACCAATAACCTCAACAGGGGCCCTGTAGAAATATGAGCTTTTTTCAAGACATCTCATCCCTCCCCCCTCGGCGTAATAAATGTACTTTCCCTAAGTTCGCATTGTTCCACAATTGCTTTTGTTTGTTATAAGCTAACATTATTCTACTATCCAGAAAAGATAGTTAGATTTAATGAAATTCAAAAATTGACTTGACCGTTAATTATTGTTAATATATGTTGTATTCGCTTTACTTTGCATTGAGTCGCTATTGCACTATTTTCAACACTGATTACAATCAGGGCCGCAGAGAGGGGGGAGGCAGGGGGGGGCAAATTGCCCCGGGCCCCGAGTTGCTGGGGGCCCCTGAAAAATTTTTGTTGGGCCCCAGCCTTTTTTGTGTGTTAAATATTTCCGCGCAAAGGACAAGAGATTTGTTTTTTGGGCTAAGTACCGAATTTTGGCATGAAAAAATGAGATAAAGTCCCTCGAAAGCAATTGCAACGTACTCGTCCGGAAAAATTTTTGTACTTCGGAAAAAATTTTTGATCCCTAAAATGGTACACTGACCGAAAATTTTTTGGCGACGGGGGGGGAGGTTGTTGTCCGGAAAAAATTTTTTGGATAGGGGCCCCTAAAAAAAAATTTGCCCCGGGCCCCCGCCAACCTCTCGGCGGCCCTGATTACAATGAATAAGATGTTGTACTATTTACAAGTTGTAAAAATCAGGTAAAAAGGATAAGACCTTTGGCTTTGTATCAAGCATTAACATGACAATTATCTACTTAGGCTCTTAGCTCTATATTTGTTCTAGCATATGCGTCGCTTCATGCAGGTCGTTTTTCAAAGTTTCGTAAACGTTTCACTTTTTGTACTTAATAGACGGCCGGCCAAGTCATCAATTTGTACAACTTGATGGCAACTTTATGTTAGAAGCTGGTAACAGGCATTTTCTTATAGTTCAAGCCTTGGTGAACAAGACTGTGTGTGTTACCACTTCTGATTTTTGCTTTATAGCCAAAAATTTGAGAATTTTTAAATTTTGCCTATTAAATTACTATGATCGGAAAAAATGTAAAATTTCATGTTCTCTTATACGAAAAATAAACTATACCACTAGAAAGAGCGTTAAAAACTGTATATAAGACAATTAAGTGAGTTCTACGTTTTTCCAATCCTATTTCGAGTTTTTAATGTTAAAAAATGCAGAAATGACCAAATTAATGCTAATTAGTACCCATTTTGCCAACTTTAACCATCTTTAATTCAAAATCGGCATGAAAATCGCACTAGTCGCTTAAGTTATCTTATATATAGTTTTTTACGCTCTTTCTAGTGGTATAGTTTATTTTTCGTATAAGAGAACACGAAATTTTACATTTTTTCCGATCATAGTAATTTAATAGGCAAAATTTAAAAATTCTCAAATTTTTGGCTATAAAGCAAAAATCAGAAGTGGTAACAATC